TTGGTGAACAGAATTTAAACACCGACTGAGACAATTTACACTCATAGAGCCGAATGTTCTTGAGAAGATTATGTTGTTCAGCGACAGAGCTTTGTTTTACGGTGAGGTCAGTCGTCAAAATGCGCAGTACTGGTTGCAAAACAACCCACGTTGGAAGGATACATCCAAACAGCAAGTAATGTGACGGATTATGGTGTGGTGTGGACTGTGGAAAGCTCATGTGTTGGGGCTATTTTTCTTTTATGGTAGCGTAATTGCGAGACATACCTCACCAATTTGAGAGACCAGTTAATGCCTCAAACTGAAAGGCTAGCTAAAGGCTTTCATGAGGGGTTTTGTAGCAGGATGGACCCTCTACATATTACGCGCTGATAGTAAGAATGGCTGAATGACAATTTCCCTAACAGGATTGAGAGACGTTGGCTGTATGGAAGAGTTTCCTTGGACATCAGGCTCATTGACTTTTTTTTGAGGGGTAGGCTGAATGAGAGAGTGTGAGGGCAACTCGACGTGGTGTAATGGTTAGCAAGCTTGTCTCACTGGAACTATAACAACTGAGTTGTGAGTTCAATCTTCACTGAGGACCCCATGCTTTCGGCCTTGTGCCACATCAAAGCTCTGCTTAAAAAATCATCTGAATGACAGAGTGTGTACAATTATATCCTAATTTTATGGTTACTGTCTCTTTATATATATAAATAATGAGTCTCTCTCTTCAGTATCTGAAGATTGCATGGAACTCTGAGTCGTAGTAACAGTGCGGGGAAAATGTATATTTATTAATATATAATCTCGAATCGAACACTATTTTATTAAAACTAGTATTCAATGTGTATATATATATATATATATATATATATATATATATATATATATATATATATTATATTGACGACACACAAACAGGCCCATACACATCAGCGATTATGTAACATCAGCGATTTTCTTGTAAGCGTCTTATAGACAGCCATAAGGACAAGAATATATAAGCTTCCTTTTTTCGCCACGTTTTTAGGTTAAAAAAATAACAGTCTTTTTTTTTTTTTAAAAATAGTCTTTTTTTTTTTTTAAAAGGTAAATACAAACGATTTTCCTGTAATTTTCATGCCTTCAAAGTTCGGCCATTGCGTCGCAACAGTGCTTGGGTGGTGAAGTTAGCTGTATAACAGACAGTGCGTCATTGGTTTTAAAAATCCATTCATGGTGAACCGTATCTCTAAGATGAATCTCTTCGTTGTTGCAAGTCGTCATCTGACAATAAATCGAGCAGCCCTGAAGCCTTACCCAGAAACAAACACTTGAACATTACGACCAAAGCAGGGTGATGTCTATACAAAGGTTTAAAGATTGAAAGACATTTGATATAAACCAGTAAGGAGAAGAAAATGCAAAAGTAAGTACACCATAATGTTCAACAACTAGCACAGTTTGAGACTTTCTGCAATTTATTTGTACATTTTGTGCTTAATGTTAATGAAAAGCGGTTTCTTCTGGGTAATCGGAAACATCTATATATTTCCTCCTATTCAACGATTACAAAAAACAAATCGTTAAGAATCAAAAGATTCCCATTACCATTTACTGGCGCCGTAACAGACTTAATACCATTGGCAAAAACATGTTGTCGGGAGTTGGAACTGATCCGTAAAAAAATTCCTATTATTTTGCCTGGCAGCAGGGAACGGAAAAGTTGCCTTTCCCGTTGCAAGATAACGCAATCTATATCAATAATTATCAAAATGTGTGTGATCGGATGTTTTTTATGCATTCCTACAGTTTTCATCCGATTTTGATGAAATTTTTTTTGCTTGATAGATAATTCTTCGAGGGGCAGTTTTGAGTCCAACTGTTGGCGACAATGGCTCTCCACTACTTCCTGTCCATTATAACTCTCAGAAACGTTTTACTATTTACTATCTGTTCTTGGATATATATCTTTAATAAAAATATATACTTTAAATTATTACAATAATATTATTTATTATTATACAGATCCCTTTTCAGGCTCCCCCTTCAAATTGTTAACCCTCATTTTGGGATCTGCCTCAGTAGCACCCAAATGTTGTTACTAATAATTATTTTCGGGTGGGCTGACTTTAAACTTAAACTGTTGCAACTGAACGGCAATGAAAGTAATGAAAGACCTGGTCAAAGACGTGTTATACTGCTAGTAACCTTATAGTGCTAGTAAACTTATACTTCACAAAGAAAATAATACAATTAGCCATTAAATAATTGTTTTTTTACGCAGATTAATCAAAGCTAGATAATTTTTAGATTGTAAGAATATTTTTTCTGGAGATGATAATGATTTAATGATACATGACTTACAATTTAACCCATTGCTGGGGTAGAGGAGAGGTAGATACCTTTCCCCAGTGTATTTGCGCGTAACGAAACCCAACTAGAAATTGAACTCGGCTCTCCGATTAGCAAATCCGAGCGATTATTCATTAGACCACCTGCACATCCCTGATTACAGCACCTGGTATTCCCAAGCGGTAACCCATCTATGTTCCGACAAAGGTCGACGTTGCTTAATTGTGATCTTAAGAGAACTAGTGTTTCAACTTGATATGTCTGTAAGCGTGTTAGACATCGACGTCCTTCCCCAAACTCTCTATATTATGTATTTGTCCTCTATTGTTTACCACTTTTCTAGGTTTTAGATTCATATACACACCATCAGGTGTATAGAAATGCAGAACTCGTCGAAAATACTGTCTAGAGGTTTATTTGTTAAATACCGTGATCCTAGTCATCGTCAATCGATTGGCAACTATGTGTCGATTCTAAACGTGTTTATTTTGAGTAAAGTTCTGTTTGAGTATAGTAATAACGGTTTAAAAGTTATAGTTCAAAACGGATATTTATTTTATTTCATTCATTTCGTTGCCTGAGTCAGGAATTCCAAAAATAATAGACTTTCGTTCAATCGAAGAGGTAGATAAGTGGCATCAAACGGACGAAATAACTGATATGGGATGGAAAACGGAATGAGAAAAATCTACCTCGGGCATTGAGTAAATGGTTCATTTTGAAATTTCCGGGTTATCAAATTTGTCAGGTATCCGAGGAAGTCTGTAACATTGTGACTGTAAGAAAACAATGAAATGTCATTTTCTTTTAAATCAGTGTCTAATAATTATTCCTCATCTAAAAATATCAGTGTATGATAATGATAATTCCTCTTCCAATAACTTAGTGCCTTAATTCCTCATCTTAAAAAAAATCAGAAAAAAAATGACATTATTTTGAATTTTTCAACAAATAAAATCTACGATGACATGTAAATGTAAAACTTAACAGTATAAGTCATTTCTAGCTTATTTCTTGACTAGGAGTTTAACCCAGAGTCAGGACAAAAAGAAAAATAAAGGAATTTTTATTCCACATAAATAATTATTTATATTTTAATAGCGGTTAAGGATTTAATTTTTGAATCATTGTGAATATAGAAACATTATAATCAGTATATAAATCCTGAATTAATCAATTCATATATCATAATTAAAGAGAACTACTCCCGATATTTGTTATTCTATCTTTCTTTTTCAATGTTTCAGACAGTTCATTTTCTGACCATCTTCGGTTGGTCTAAATTTATTTCATTTTATAAACCAATATGCTAACATGCTTTTCTGTCATTCCTACAGAGTTGTAATTTTGTCATAGCAGTTTTTCAGTGATTGGATGATTTTAGTATCTTTCTTGTAGAGAGATGTCTGCTCGTATAGGTTTATGTGAAACTTATTTAATTTTTGCATTCTACCTTCCTTGGTTGCATTGCATTGTGGGAAATTGTAAATAGGCTGGGTACTTATTTTCTGGTATATGTATCTTGTTTTTTTAATGTTTTAATGAAAGTTTGCGAATAACAAAACAGCAGCGAAGATGAACAGAATCCAAAGGTAAAAATAAATAAATATTAACATTTCGAAAACTCAGAGAAAGATAGACCAAGGAAAATTTATTCAGATTTTCATTTTCGATTATGAAGTAAATACGAAAGTAACAATAAAATGATCATATAATTTGGGGATCAGTCTTGCTTTATATTAATACCTAAGACAGTACTTACACATTTGCTAATACACATGTTTATTCTATCTATCTATCTATCTATCTATCTATCTATCTATCTATCTATCTATCTATCTATCTATCTATCTATCTATCTATCTAGCTAGCTAGTTCGTTTGAAGTTACTATGCAAATCACATAAATCTCAATAACTAGAATTTGCTTTGAACATTTTTTTGCCAAATTTTAAACGATTAATTTCGACGTCAAAACAAAATATGAGTATTCAGGCAGTTTCAACATATTTTTAAGCTTTGGGATTTAATATAAAAACTGCAGTCTCTTTATCGTTTGATATCTCTTTTGATATCTTCAATGTATACATTCTCCCACTCAATAACTTTGTTATTTTCTGTTTTTCAGCATTTGTTATACCCTTTCCATTGCCAATGTTTTAACATATATCATGGAAAAAATAGCTTTTATTAGATTTCAGAGGCCTTAAACTAAGATTAGTTTAATCTGCATAATAACTTCAGACTGCAGTTTTTATAATAAATTCAACATATTTAATAAAACAGGTTGAACTACCTAATTATTTAATTCAAGCTTTGTGTTGATGCCTAAATTAATCGTTTAAAATTTGGCAAAAATCTTTTAAAGCAAGTTCGATTTAAAGAGGTTTATGAGTTTTGCATCATAACTTCAGATGGACTGTATATTTGGAGTTTTTAAGTGTTGCATATCATTAAACGGAACGCAAAATCATATAAATATACTCATACACTCATATATCGTATTTCTCGACATATAATGCGCACTGGCGGATAAAACTAATCAATAATCTGCTGAATAAAGATTCAACCGATGAGTCATCCGCACTTATCTTTTTTTTTTTTAAATATTTTAATAGTATTTTGATTTTTAATCATAATCTCATATATATAATAATATATATTTAATTTGGGGTCCATCAAATGTGTCAAACTGTGTTTTTAGGTATTGATTCAGGAACCAAAATCTATCTATCGGTGTAAAAGGAGTTTTTTTAAGCAATTATTTTTTAAAGGACGTCTTATATGGAGAGAAATACAGCAATTATTTCATGTTCGTTAATGGATATATTAAAGGGTGGGAAAATGTTTTCGGTACAATCAAGAAGGCTTTCTAAAAGATATTGCAACATTTGGTCAGAAATTTGGAAATAGGTGGAGTCGAGATCTTTTCAGCATACCCCAGACTCACTGACACATATATATATATATATATATATATATATATATATATATATATATATATATATATATATATATATATATATATATATATATATATGCGTCTGTGAATAAATATATATATATTTTGATCCACCAAAATAAAAATTGCGTTTACACATATGCATCTACAAATAATATATTGATTATCTATCTATAATTACGTTATCTGGATTGGTTTGACATAGCTGCATATAGATGAACGCAGATGTATGTTTGGATCTGTGAGCATATTTACTTTATATATATATATATATATATATATATATATATATATATATATATATATATATTCATATCTGAATCGTATATGATGTCTATCAATGTATAATTTGTAGCAAATAATTTATCTTTCAATTTGTTTGTCTATCATTGTGAATTTGTGCGATTTGGTTCTATTTCTTGTGCGTGTTTATCTATCTATCTATCTATCTATCTATCTATCTATCTATCTATCTATCTATCACGTTAGCTGCATAGCTTTGTCAGTTGTATCTACATAACTACATGTAGATATATACATGTGTATGTATGTATCTGTGAGAACATCTACGTATATATACACACACACGCACAAAGACAACACACACATATATATATATATATATATATATATATATATATATATATATATATATATATATACTCACACCTGAATCGTGTATGTGTATATGCTGTCTATCAATGTGTAATTTGTTCTTGTGTCTTTGTAGCCAATTATCTATCTATCTATCTATCTATCAATTTCTGTGTCTATCATTATTTGTGAATCTGTGCAACTAGCGTGGGTATGTTCCGTGCGCCTTTTTATCTATCTATCTATCTATCTATCTATCTATCTATCTATCTATCTATCTATCTATCTACTCATTTGCATGACACTTACGTATATCTGTTTGAAGATTTTGTGTACATTTAGATGGTTTCATTTGTAAATAACTGTCTGGCCTCATCATTATATTTACATTAAATATAACGAAGAGTATAAATGTTTTGAAAACAATCGATCTCATGCATTGACTTTTGAATATTCATGCTTCATCGATCTGAAACAACCAAAATGATATCAAAGCGACATTCAACATGCGTGTAGGTGAGGATTGAGAACCAAACACTGTTTAAAAGGAAAATTTCAGATTGTGAAATAATTATGTTGGTCCTATTTTAAAATTACGCCTACAGAGACAACATACAAATAAAAGGGAGACTTGAGGCAACAGAGATGTGGACGGAAGCTGAGAATACCATCGACTGAACATGTGAGCAACGATAAAGTTTTAATGAAAATGGAAACAACAAAGAAACTTATACTTACAATCAGAAAGAGACTGCTAGTTTTTTTTAATCATCTCACCCCAAGCAAATCGATAAAAGCCACTAAGATGCAAATGATTAATATGAGTGAAAAAATATAACAAGAACAAAACAAAAACCAAAAAATCTAAAACTAAAAAAAAAAACAAACAAAAAAACAAACAAACTTAACAATAAAAGAAAAGGTTTCAAGGAAAGAAAATGTGTCAATTGACGTTGCATTCAAATTTCTAACGCTCGTAGTTGACAGGTAGGTAGGAATCCGGAAGAATTACACATGTTGCATATTATCTGTGTAGTATTTTTAAATGAGTCTCTTTTTGGATGATCCAGCCGAGCATTTTGAATTCTTATATTTACATACGTGCTAATACCTTTGAGAAAGATATAAATCCACTTCTTCTCCCCCAAGTTATGGGTTAATTTGTAAGATTTGTATCAGTAAGTCGTTATTATATTTAAAATATTCTTATAATCTAAAAATAATTGTTGGCGTTAAATAGGTTGATAAGTCGTAAAAAACAACAATTAATCAAATCTGTAATTTTGTTCGTATCTATCTATCTATCTATCTATTATTTTTTCGTATCTCTCTCTCTCTCTATCATTTTTTCGTATCTCTCTCTATCTATCTATCTATCTATCTGAGTCAGTCTGATCTTTATGTATAAACATTCATGTTTTTTAATTTATATCCTATACTTTTCATTTCTAATTCCTTTTTCTATTTAAAGATTTTTATCTTATTTCTGTCTCTTTCTATTTACTTCTTTTTCTTCATTCTCCCACTCTCTATCATTCAAACCTTATTTGTTTCATTTTTTAAAAAAATAATGCCATGTCTCTTCAAGATGTGGGTTATGACAGCTCTGTAAATTGTCATGCCTTCTTGGGAAAGATACAATTCAGTTTTTCTTTTTTTTTTTTAGACTGCGTGCCACTCAAAGCTATATAACCCATTCTACCCGATTATTTAACCCATAACTGAGGTAGGGTATTTGTTCGAAAGTGAACGAAGTTGTAATGGTCGGACTTTGAACTTTTTGGTCGGACTTTCCGTATCGATAGCCGTTACAACACCCATATCTCTCTCTGTTTCATAATTTTCTTCTCAGAAGAATGAGCATATGACAGGTTTGGAACCAATAAATACTGAACGTGGGCATCTGATACTAATCTAGATAACCACGAAAAACATATTTATCCTGTTGTTGTTCGTATTCTGGTTAGAGGCAGATATCCACAGAGTGCCAATAAAAAAATAAGATTAAAACCTTTTCAAATGCCCCTTTCTTTCTTTTTTCTACTTCGCGAGTTGATTCTCCATCTCACCTGTCGCCATTGACTTTTCTGGTTTTCTTGTCTGGTCTTTCATACTCATTTCTCTGAGAAAAACAGAAGTTACATAATGTTGTCCTGCTTGCTTTCTTTTTACATCATCCACAATTGTTCGTATGATCAGCATTGATGTTACGAAATAGGACACCAGTTACCATTTTCCATTGGTAGCCACTATTCATTAATTGCCTTATTACGAAGTAATCTATCTATCTATCTATCTATCTATCTATCTATCTATCTAGCTAGCTAGCTAGCTAGCTAGCTAGCTAGCGAGCTAGCTAGCTAAGTCTTTTAAGACATATGTTTCTATCGATATACATCAGTTGGATAATTTTATCTATCTATCTATCTATCTATCTATCTATCTATCTATCTATCTATCTATCTATCTAATAGAGAAATAGATAGATACATAATATATTATATATATATATATATATATATATATATATATATATATATATATAAATGGACAATATCAGAAGACAGTCTGTTTCATACGAAATGCAATCATCAATCCATCGATTGTGTTTAGCAGAAACAGACTGTCGCCTCTCTTGTTTTGACTTCAATATACACTTTTATATTTGCATAAGCTCTATATATAGCATACTTTAAAACTATATTTTATCATATATATATATATATATATATATATATATATATATACGTGTGTGTGTGTGTGCGTGCGTGTGTGTGTGTGTGTGTGTGTGTGTGTGTGTGTGTGTGTGTGTGTATGTGTACTAATTAGCATCGGTTCTATTCTGGTCAATCGTTATGTGTGTATTTAGAATTCTGTTTTCAATGGATAATCCAAATCAAACTTATTGGATCTGCACAATCATTACATAATTTTCAGGCAATAAAATTTTCTGATTTTGGAATTTTTAGTTACTTTTAACATACCCTCATTGGAAAAGAATTCGGTAACTGTAACATTTTTTTTTATTAAAGCGTAGAAATAAAATAAAAATAAGCGATTAAATTATACATTCTGGCATTATAATTTCAGATAATCCAAAAAACGTGTCCATCTTTTCATTTCGGTGAAATTAATTTTAATTTAATATTGACAAAAAATATTTATGGAATATTTCCAAATAGACCGCGACGACCATTTTTTTTACGAGTGAACCCTTCTAACTTATCTCTCCATGTCAATAGTGAGGTAAGTGGAGACGATTGCCTCTATACTATTTACAACAGGCAAAAAATATTTTCTGGAAAATGAACTTTCGGCAAATATTTAAATGATTTGTAATTTGCTAACGCCATTTTACTAATAGCAGAATCACCGGAAGACTTATAACAGGCATTAAATTTCAATGTCGGTTTAAAAATTAACGAACATAAAGTAAAATTAATATTTAGTTGTGCCCTTCCAAAAAAATCATAGCAATGGAAGATGAAGAACTGGAAGAAATCCAGGAATACAAATATTTAGACCAGGATATTATATTTAAGAAATACCATGGAAATAAAACGAAGCGATGTATAACGTTAGAATGGAACCTATTTAATAAAAAACGAGATAGAATGAAAACATCTTGCCAATACACTTAAAACGAATATTAAAAAGTCTACAAGGAATGAATATGAGCTGCTATTAAGAGTGTGAAATATGAAATTTGAAAAAAAAATCACTGAAAATAAACTTAAAAAATACACAATGGAAAGAGTAATGCTAGTTATAACTTCAAGAGATTGAAAGAGGTCAATATGACTTAAAGAAAAGAAGAGCTAAAGTGATTTAAAATAATGGTGAACGTAACACATGGCAAGAAGAAAAGATAACAGATGGAGTAAAAAGTTGATTGATTTGCGTCCAGTGGCGAGCAAGTATATTAGAAGAATACGAAATAAAAAGATGAAATACCGAATTGATTTAAAATAATGGTGAACGGGATGCATAACAAGAAAAAAAAAGGATAACAGATGGAGTAAAAGGATGCTTGATTTGCGTCCACTGGTTAATAAACATAGTAGAAGAAAAGGAAATAGATGAAAGATAGAGATTTGTTGGTAAGATATGACGGTGAATGGCTTAATTATAGTCGTCACTGAAGCATTTGGGAAAAGCCATTTTCTTTGCAGTGGGTGAGAAATGTCTACTGCTACTGCTGGCAAACTAATATTTGTGTGATAAACATACCATGTGAATTTCAGCGTATAATATCTTTTAATGAGAAATATTTACAAAATAAAAAATGTCTTTGCAAATATTTTGGCATGTTAAAGTTCTTTATGCAACTTAATATTTGTTTATGAGATTGCAAAAAATAAAATAGTTACTGATATTGGATTCTTTAAGTTTTGATATACAGAGATTGCTATGGGGCGTATGAATGATATGAAATGAGAATAGATAAAGGATATTGTAAAAGTATTGTGTGATGGATACACGATGTTGAAATTTGCGAAATGGCTGAACGATGATGACAGAATCATAACAAAAAAAAAAAAAAAAAAAACGAAATTGAGAACATTTGCAAGAATGAACAAGAAAACTCTTTTAAGATTATCATCAAAAGATATTTGAGAAAAATATAAAGGCTAAGAATTAATAAAGTGAATTTGCCAGCGAGAAAATGTTTTCGTGTTGAGTGTGGACAGAAAGAAACGATACAAAATATTAAGAAAACTGGTTAAAGATATGAAAACATTCAAACTATTCTCTTTAAGTATCAGTCAGTGAGTTGTGTGCCATGCATGATACACGCTTAGGCGATCATGTATCTTTCGATACGAGGCAATTTTTTTTCCCAACAGTAGGTTACCATTTCTTTCTGCGGTTGACCACTTGCCATACAAGGCTATAGAATCCGGTCTGTCCTGCTATTTAACCACAGCTGGAGGGGAGAAGAAGAGGATTCATATCCTTCTCAAGGGTATTAGCACGTAAGTGAATGTAATGGATTCTACTGGAATTCGAACTCGGCTCTCCGATTTCTCAATCTGAGCCGCTATTCATTACTCCACCTCACGAAAAGAAACATCTAAGATGAAAACTGATTTCTGAACAGCAATTTTCAATGATGAATGTAGATCTATACTGGATGAACATTAATGCCAGGACAGATTTTGGATCAGTTATGGAAACAGTAAACTAAAACAGCTTAGAAGACAAGAAAGAGATGGAGAAATATTTTGAGTTAATTTTGCAAGCAGTAAAATTATAGAACTTAGAAGTGGACGATGGTTCAAGACAAATATTAGAGAATTATTTTAAATTCTTAGAAAATTAGTCTTTAAGTGGCACATATAGCGACCAAGAAGCTTTAAGCCAAAGAGTATGATATACGTCAATGTTTCTTAACTCTCACTTTTCACAACTGACTATTGTCTAACTCGCCAAAGAAAAAAATACAATACAATTATTGATTCAGTAGAAATCATGTGCTAGCATTTAAAGAAGTGTATGTGAGAATAGAAAATGATATTCAAGCGAAGAAAGCTGTTGTGAAGCAATAAGAAAATTGTTGCCAGTAATATAATCTAAAGAGTAAGAAGGTTAAATTTCACTATTTAAAAGTCTAATGAAAATTATAGAATGTTAATGTGTCGCTGTTAATCTGAAAGACAATAACAATATCTATTCAGCGATATATATTCTGATACATTTCTAGTGTTTTTTTTGTTGCATTTATTCGTGAATAAACATCTAAAAATATTTTCTGGCTTTAAATAATCTGCAAAGGGTTGATAAGCTGTAAAAAACAAATCAATGAATCATACCTTACCGTCAGTGCGGTTTCACCAGTGAATCTTCAGGTAATAACAGGTAGGATTTTTAAAATTTTTTTCACTGACATTCTTTTATATATACCTTCATTGATGAATAAGTTATTTTAGACTAATTAAGATTTAGATGTTTTACTAATTATATTTTGGATAAAAGTAAAGTTTAGATGATTTTATTAAGGATATTTTAGAAAAAATCAAGTTTAAATGTTTTACAAAGTATATTATAGATAAAGTAAGGTTTAGAAGTTTTACTAACTATATTTTATATAAAGGTAAGGTTTATTTTTAGTCTAAATTTCTGGGATCAGAAGATATCATTATTTATAATCTGTACTATTGTCCTCAACATTGTTGTTGTTATCAAAATATCTCGGGTAGTTGTGCACTCCGGTCTTTATCAAGTGCTTGATGTCTCAGGTTAACCTCGGGGAATCTCGAATTGAACCCATTATTTAATCTAGTAGATTTAAAGTAGATTGTTCATGTCCCGTTGATCATGACTAAGAATATCTCACCTAATTCTTATTTAGCTATTTTTTGCCCTGGGATTTACTGAGTTGAAG